TGGGGCTGTAGGTTTCCTCCAGTGAAGCTGTTCTCACAAGCTGCGTTGGAATTCATTTCAGGGCCAGTTTATGATCCACCCCCAAAAATCTGCTTGGTGTCTTAGCATCATACCTTGTATTTGACCAAAAATGGTATTCCTGAGCTTGCGGCCCCACCTGATTCACCACACTTGGATCCAGATGATGTTGGGTGCTTTCCAGAAATCAAATTCTCCCTGGGAGGATGAAGATCTGCCAGCTCTGAGAACTTTGGGGAGAAAAGGGGGAGGTGGGCTCAGGCTTTGAAGGCTATTCCTAAAGAAGACAAGTGGTGTGAAAAGGCGACCACCTTGTTGGCACAGCACAGGACCTTCCTCAGTGACCAGGTTGAAAAAGATACAATATATATTTGCATAAGTCCCAGTCTCTTTAGTTAGAAGGTCATTTTTGTTATACTTTAGTCACTCCTCCTTCATGTTGGAAAATGTTGCAAAGCAATGAGCCGTGGGGCCAAAGTAGAGGAAGACCTAAGGACAGTCTTTAGCCAGAGTTATGCCATAGGAATACAATGCAGGCCACGGGTGTAATTGTAAATTTTCTAGTAGCAACATTTAAAAAGTAAAAAGAAACATAAAATTATTTTTTGTTGTGGTAAACTAACATAACATAAAATTTATTATTTTAACTATACAATTCAGTGGCATTCACAATATTGGATAACCATCACCATCCTCTATTTCCAGAACTTTTTCATCATGCTAAACTGAAACTTTGTACCCATTCTATCTAATAAAAGAGAAACATGGTAATTAGCCATACCTCCGCTACCCTTCCCATTGGCTAATCAGGGCGATATGCAAATTAACTGCCAGCCAAGATGGCGGCCGGCAGCCAGGCAGCTTGAAGTGAACATGAGGCTTGCTTACTTCAGTGACGGAGGACTCTAAAGTTTCCTGCCTGCCGCTGCCGGCCTCTGAGCTTGCAGTTTGAAACATTGTTACAAATATAGAAGGTAAACAAAACCCCAGAAACCTGCTTTCAGCCAGCCGGGATCTCAGAGCTGGAGTTGAAACAGTGTTTCGATTATAGAACCCAAACAAACCAGATACCTGCTTTCAGCAGCCGAGGCCTAAGAGCTGGAGCCAAGCCTCAGAGCTAAAGCTGGCCCAGAATAAAAAAAAAGAAAAGAAAAAAAGGAGCAGTTGGGAGCTTCAGTCACCCGCCAGCCTGAAAACAGCCCTCAGCCCCTCACCCAGGCTGGCCAGGCACCCAAGCGGGACACCCACCCTGATCCAGGACACCCTTCAGGGCAAACCAGCCGGCCCCCACCCGTGCACCAGGCCTCTATCCTATAGAGTAAAAGGGTAATATGCCTCCCGGCACCGGGATCAGCGTGACAGGGGGCAGCGCCCAAACCCCCTGATCGCCCTGCGGCTCTGTGTGTGACAGGGTGCAGCGCCCCCCCACCCCACCCCCCCACAGGCCCTGCTCTGTGTGTGACGGGGTAGAGCCATAACCTCCCCATTGGCCCTGCCCTGAGTGTGACAGTGGTGGCGCCCCAGCCCTCTGATTGGCCCTGCTCTGTGGGTGATGGAGGGTGACGCCCCAACCCCCCCCCCCCAACGGGCCCTGCTCTGTGTGTGACGGGGTAGAGCCATAACCTCCCCATCGGCCCTGCCCTGAGTGTGTCAGGGTGTGGCGCCTCATCCCCCTGATGGGCCCTGCTCTGTGTGTGATGGGGCGGTGCCCCAACTCCCCTATCGGCCCTACTCTGTGAGTGACAGGGGGGAGCTCCTCAACCCCCTGATCGACCCTGCTCTGTGCATGACAGGGTACGAAGCCCCAACCCCCCTGATGGGCCCTGCTCTGTGAGTGACAGGGGGCAGCGCCCCAGCCCCCTGATTGGCCCTGCTCTGTGCGTGACGGGGTGGCGCCGCAACCTCCCCGTCGACCCTGCCTTGAGTGTGACGGGGCGGTGCCCCAACCCCCCAATCGGCCCTACCCTGAGTGTGACTGAGGGTGGCATCGCAACCTCCTGATCCGCCCTGCTCTGTGCATGACAGGGGGCAGCGCCCCAACTCCCCAATCAGTCCTGCTCTGAGCCCGACCAGGGGCTGCACCTAGGGATTGGGCCTGCCCTCTGCCACCCAGGAGCAGGCCTAAGCCAGCAGGTCGTTATCTCCCGAGGGGTCCCAGACTGCGAGAGGGCACAGGCCGGGCTGAGGGACTCCCCCCCCCCCCAGTGCACAAATTTTTGTGCACCGGGCCTCTAGTCTATATATATAAAAGCCTAAGCGACCCTCTGACTGGTAGCTGTGATGCGCACTGACCACCAGGAGTTAGACGCTCCGACCGGTAGCTATGATGTGCACTGACCACTTGGGGGCAGACGCTCAACGCAGGAGCTGCTGAGCTGTGGTGACTTGGCAGCTGCGGTTCTCGGGTGAGGCACCTGGAACCAGAGAGGAGGGAGCCTGATTCCCGGATGCATCACCCGAGAACCGCCCTCTCACAATCTGGGATCCCTCTGAGGGGGGATGTTGGAGAGCTGGTTTTGACCCGATTCCCCGCAGGCCAGGCCAAAGGACCCCACTGGTGCACAAATCCATGCACCCGGCCTCTGGTTAATTCTCCACTCCTCTCCTTTAACCCCTGATAACTTATATTCTCGTTTCTGTCTTTATGGATTTGCCTACTCTCAGTACCTCATATAAGTAGAATGATACAACATTTATCCTTTGTGTCTGACTTACTTCACTTAGCATAATGTTTTCAGGGTTTATTTGTGTATCAGAATTTTATTCCTTTTAATAGTTGAATGATATTTCTTTGTATGTATATACCACATTTTATTTATCCATTCATCTGTTGATAGACTCTTGACTATTTCCATCTTTTGAATATTATGAATAATGCAGCTGTGAATATTGATATACAGGTATCTGGTTGAGTCCTGCTTTCAGTTCTTTTGGGTATATGCCAAGGAGTGGAATTGCTGGATGATATGGTAATTTCTATGTTTAACTTTTTGAGACACCACCAAACTTTTTCAATTTGTCTTTTCACTCTCTTGATAATGTCCTCTGATGCACAAAAGATCTTTAATTCTTATGAAGTTCATTTTATTTTTTTCTTTGTTGCCAGTGCTTTTGGTGTCACATCCAAGAAATCCAATGTCACGAAAAGTTTCCCTTATGTTTTATTCCATAAGTTTTATAATTTTAGCTCTTGGGTTTAGATCTTTGATCCATTTTGTGTTAAGTTTTGTATATGGTATAAGGTAGGGGTCCAGCTTTATTCTTTTGTATGTGAATATCCAGTTTTGCTAGCACTGTTTGTTGAAAAGACTGTCCTTCCTCCATTGAATGACCTTGTAACCCTTGTTCGGAAATGAATTGGCTGTATATGTGAGGATTTATTTCTGGGCACTCTATTCTATTCCATTGGCCTAGATCCTTATACCAGTACCACACTGTTTTGATTATTGTAGCTTTGTAACAAGTTTTGAAATCAGAAAGTGAATCCTCTAACTTTGTTCTTTCTTTTCAAAATCAGGTGAAATTGATAATGTAATCAATTTAACCCAATATATCATTTCAACATATAATCAAGATAACACATTATTAACGAGATCTTTTACTTTCTTATGTTCATATCATCTTCTAAATTGAGTGTGTATTTAACTTAACAGTCATTCTCAGCTTGGGCTAGCTATAGTTCAACTCTCAATAGCCACATGTGACTCTTGGCCGCCACATTAGCTCAGATTTCACAGAAAATTGCACTGTGACACAGATCTCTGAAAAAACAAAGGGCTTTGGAGTCAGGTGGGCCTGGTTCCAAAGTAATTTAGCCCCTTGTTCGTTGAGGTGGGCAGAAGGAAGCCACTTGTGAGTGCTGTGGTAGAGGGGGAGTAGTTCAGTCAGGAAGGTGGCAATAAGAAAGACATGCTTGGGAGGTGGCACTTGAGAGCTCAGCCTTGGAGGAAGAGCCTGGTGCTTTTAGAGAATTACAGGTAGTTCTTTCAGCTTGACCAGGGTAATAGGAGTGAGAGGCCAGGTAAAAGGAGAGGCTGGAGGTGGGCCGAAGCCAGACCCTCCACCACTGCCCCTGTCATCCATGTCCCCAGCATCTCTTATTTGAGTTACTGGCAGTAACCTCCTCACTGATCTCCGTATCCACTCTGCACCCCTCCTCCCCTCATTAGTGTAAGTCAAGTCATGTCACTTCTCTGCCCAAAACACTTCCATGGCTTTACATGTTAATCAGATCGAAAGTGTGAGTGTTCTGCAAGGTAACCCCCCCTCCTCTCTGATTTTACCTCTCTCCTCTCTCCCTCCTGAGCTCCCCTCTCTGGCCATTTTGGACTCATATCCTTGCCCCCAGGGCCTCTCACTTGCTTTTTTCTCTGCCTGGGATATGTGCCCTGAGATGTTTCTATGGTTTACTCTCACATTTCATATCTCTGCCACTTTATTCCCATCTCTCCTTCAGAGAGCACTTCCTGTCACTCTATACAAAATATATGATGCCCTTCTTAAGTTTTATTTTTTGTTTTTTTTTTAAACAGTTGTAAATAGCTGGTGTTTCACATCTGGATGTGTTTTTGCCTCTTTTCTGAGATGTAGACCCTACGAGAATAGAGATATGTCTGTTTTACTCACTCTTCAATGCTTGGTGTTCACTAAGTATTTGTTGAATGAATGACTAGATGAATAAATGAACATATAAGAAAAGTAGCAGGCCTTCAGTAATTGTGTGTTGATTTGAGATTTTTGTTGAAGTGTTTGCATTTACTTACTTATTTTTTCCTAACTTTATAATTGGAAAAAAATCCAAACATGCCAAAAAGTTGAAAGAGTGGTTCAATGACTATCCATATATACTCCACCTAGATTCAATAATTGATTTCACCACCATTGTTTTATATATTCTTGCATATATATGTGTGTGTGTGTGTTGTGTAATGGTACCATTTAAAAGTCAGTTGTAGAAAATGACACTTACCCTTTGCCTTTAGAAGTTGGCTGTGGAGTGTGGTGAGTCCTCAGAGGAGACCTCAGATAGCCGGAGCCATGGCCTCTGACCTGGACTTCTCACCTCCTGAGGTGCCTGAGCCCACATTCCTGGAGAACCTGCTACGGTATGGACTCTTCCTGGGGGCCATCTTCCAGCTCATCTGTGTGCTGGCCATCATCATACCTGTTCCCAAGTCCCACGAGGCGGTGAGTCCTTCCTTCTTTGTGTCCCTTAGCTCCCCAGGGTGGGTCTGGGTAGTAAAAATAGATATCACAGCAACAAAGATCAGCAGGGACTATGCTGGGCTTTATTGATAAGGTGTCCCTAACTTCCTGCCTGGTGACATTGAGCCATGTGATTAATACTTTATTTGTTCACATGTGTGTTGAGCAGATTTTTATTTCGTGTTACACTCTGCTAAAAGAGGAGGTGTCTGCCCTCAAGGGCAGATGTGAAACATACACATCTGAGAAGTACAGGTGCTGTGAGGGTGATGGCAAGAGGGGACCTGAGTGGCTAGGTCACTTTTCCTCCCCAAGGGAGAGGGAACTGCATGGTAAGTGCCTGAGGAATAAAGGATGGGTTAGTTCAAGGAACTGAATGCAGGTGATGGCGGTTAGAGCTCAGAGGGGACATGATGAGAGAGGTGCAGAAGAGTCAGCAGAGCCCAGAGGGTTTTAAGTAAGAGAATGACATGATCAGATTGCCTTTTTTGTTGCTTTGACTCTTATTCTGTATTTATACACCCTCCTTTCACCACCACCACCACCACCACCCTTACTTTTCTCAAGATATTAATATCTTGGTGAAAGCAGGTCATTGTCATCTAGGATATCCACATGCAGGATTTGGCTGATTGCGTCTTTGTGGTGTCACTTGCCCTGTTTCTCTGTTTCACATATTTCCTATCAATAGAAAATTTGATACAGAGGCTTGATTCAATTCAGATCAGGTTATTGTTGAGAACACATCATAGCTGGTGCTGTGTACTTCCTGTCCTATGTCATCAATAGGCAGATGGTGTCTGGTTGTTACACATTTAAAGATTCTAGGATTGATCATTGGGATAAGATGAAGTTAGCTGATCCCTCTATTATAAATCCCATAAGTCTTTCACCTAGATGGTTTTAGCACTCATTGATGATCATTGCTTAGATCCATTATTTCTTTCTCCATTTATTTGTTGGCATTCTTCATTGAAGAAGGCCTTTTCCTTATTGTCTGTGTGGTTACTCTGAAATGTTGTTCATACTAAAAGGTAGGATTTATGCTTGGATCTTTCTCTTTATTAATTATTAGAGTAGTGAGTTTGGGCTTTAGCAGTCTCCAATTTTAACTAGCAAAGCTTTGGTTTTCATATATTTTGAACATATATATTTATATGTTTGTTAGGTTTTAATTATTTTTTTAATTAAATCTTTATTGTTCAGATTATTACATTTGTTCCTCTTTTTCCCCCCCATAACTCCCCTTCTCCCAGTTCCCGCCCCACCCTCCGCCCTCACTCCCCACCCACTGTCCTCATCCATAGGTGCACGATTTTTGTCCAGTCTCTTCCCGCATCTCCCACACCCCTTTCCCCCCCAAGAATAGACAGTCCATTCCCTTTCTATGTCCCTGATTCTATTATAATCACCAGTTCATTCTGTTCATCAGATTATTTATTCACTTGATTCTTAGATTCACTTGTTGATAGATGCATGTTTGTTGTTCATAATTTGTATCTTTACCTTTTTCTTCCTCTTCCTCTTCTTAAAGGATACCTTTCAGCATTTCATATAATCCTGGTTTGGTGGTGATGAACTCCTTTAGCTTTTCCTTATCTGTGAAGCTCTTTATCTGACCTTCAATTCTGAATGATAGCTTTGCTGGATAAAGTAATCTTGGTTGTAGGTTCTTGCTATTCATCACTTTGAATATTTGTTGCCACTCCCTTCTGGCCTGCAAAGTTTCTGTTGAGAAATCAGCTGACAGTCATATGGGTATTCCCTTGTAGGTAACTGAGTTTCTTTCTCTTGCTGCTTTTAAGATTCTCTCTTTGTCTTTTGCTCTTGGCATTTTAATTATGATGTGTCTTGGTGTGGTCCTCTTTGGATTCCTTTTGTTTGGGCTTCTCCGTGCTTCTTGGACCTGTAAGTCTATTTCTTTCACCAGGTGGGGGAAGTTTTCTGTCATTATTTCTTCAAATAGGTTTTCAATATCTTGCTCTCTCTCATCTTCTGGCACCCCTATAATTCTGATGTTGGTACTCTTGAAGCTGTCCCAGAGGCTCCTTACATTATCCTCGCATTTTTGGATTCTTTTTTCATTCCGCCCCTCCGGTTGGGTGTTTTTTGCTTCCTCGCATTTCAAATCATTGACTTGATTCTTGCGCTCCTCTGGTCTGCTGTTGGGAGTCTGTATAATATTCGTTATTTCAGTCCGTGTATGCTTAATTTCTAGTTGGTTCTTTATCACAACCTCGAGGGTCTCATTAGTTTTCTTGTAGATCTCATTAAGTTTATCGGCGGCTTCTAAACAGTTCTTGAGAGACCTTAAAAGTGTGGTTCTGAACTCTATATCTTCCATTGACAATTTTGTCCTGTTTCTTTGTCTCCGCATTTTGTTATGCTTTCTTGGTGCACCCCCTAGTGGTCTTTGTGCGCAGTCTTGTAGTTAAGCCTTGATTGTTGTAGCTAATACCAGGGAGGGTTTGACCTCCAGGCCAAGTGGCTATGAGAATCCAGGTTTTAATTTTAGGTGTTTTTTTTTTAATGCTCAAATAGTCTCAGTGAGAGCTTCATTGAGTTGTGTGAAATATTGTCTACCAGGGAAAGCCATTAGAAACTCATTGCCTAGGGCAGGGGTGGGCAACCCCTGGCACACGTGCCAAACATGGCACGCCAGTAACTTTTGCTGGCATGTGAAACCCTCTCTTATAATCTTCCATTTACAATTTTTTTCTTAATATTGACTTTTTTATTTTTCAGATAAATTCAGTATAGGTGCATCTTAGATAAATAAATAATTTTACATAACAAGTTATCTTAAAGACCATAGACATGGATTGACGAGAGAGGGGAAGAGCAATTTCAATAGTGTCTAAAACGAACTATTGAGGACTTGGAATGCCATTCCAGAAAATTTTTTCTGTTTAAAAAACTTTGCAACAGCATTACACTCCATGATTTCATCCATATACGCTTGTGAACCTTTGTTCTCAGTGATGAATTTTGTTAAGTCTCGTAATAGGAGTAGCCTGACGGATGATAGTAGTAGCTCATGCATATCTCTGAAGGTCACGAAATATAAACCTGATGTAAAATCTCTGTCATCAGTGATGCAGCAGCAAAAGTCCCACTGATAATATCAAACGGAGTCATAAAGTTTTCTGTCGGACTATCAGTGTACATGTATACATTAAAAAATAAATGTATTTTTCATCATCATATACTGTGTTTTTGTCGCTCGAGTGAATTTTATTATTTCTTCAAGGTTCTTCACATACGTACACCTTAAGGAGATATCAAGTAGGCGTAACATGTTCTCAAAAATTAGGGTTGGCACGCAGAAGAATTTTGAGTCAGAGATTTTGCTGGTTTTGGCACGCACTCACAAAAAGGTTGCCCACCCCTGGCCTAGGGTTTTTATTGGGGATGGTCACATAGCACCCTCTGCTTAGCACAGACTAAACTTCCAGACTTCTGGAAGGAAAGCAGGTATTCAGCATAAACCTTATTGTTTGCACAAACAGTTTGTAGACACAGTGAGCCACCACAGTTCTGGTAATGGTGGGAACCACCCCAAATCCAGTTTCCCAGATGCCAGCCAAGGGCCAGCCTTACAAGCTGACTTTTCTAAGGATAGCAGCTTTTTTAATGGTACTCTATTCTGTACACCTACGATATACTTGTTATAGTTTTAAAATAACTATATTGGTTTCACTACTAATAGTAAGACTCAGAGTGAAACTTAAGATTTCTTTGTGGTTCTGTTTTGGCCTACAGATACGTTCCAGTAGGGATGTCTGGTCAGAGTACTGTGTTTAGTAATTCTTTTCTTCATATAGGTATACTTCCATCATGGCATACAATTAGGTTAATTTGCTTTAATTTGTTTTTAATTTTTAGGGCTTTTTTTTCTTTTGATTTAATTAGAATTATATAAAACATTTATATACAACATTTCCCAAAGTCAAAACTGTATAACAAGATACAGTCACAGAAGTTTCCTTTAATCTCAGTATTCTTCAACCTTCCTTCCTACAACTAGGTGGCCTTTTTTTATTATTTTGATTTATCCTTTTTTTTTTAAACATACACAAATGTATATTTGTGATATATGTATATTTCACATATATATGTCATATATATATGTATGTATGTATACTCCCTCTTTGATACACATAAGGTAGCGTACTATTCCTAGTAAACACAGTTTCACATCTTTCTTTTTTCGCTTAACAGAATACAATGTGTTCTGGAGACCCCTATGTCCTGGAGATTACTGTGTCTCAGAGAGCCTGCTGTATAACTGGGAGGGTGATGGGAATTTACTGGATGCAGTGGGGAACCTGGCGAAGGAGCAGGCTTGGATGGGGGTGGAGAAGGAACATGCTGAGCTCAGTTTTAAACAGATGCCTTTAAGATGTACAGGTCTGTATCAGGAGAATCACCTGAGCTGAGGGTTGATCAACATTTGGGAATTGATGACTTGTAACTGAAGCCAAAGGAGAGAATGAGGTCTCCTTAGGAGAGAATATAGAGCGAGATGAGAAGGGGGCCTTGAGGAGCTCTAGCACATAGGGAATAGGAGGGAGGAGCAGTGTGGGGGCGGGGACCTCGGTAAATATGGACAGGCTCGTGGCCTCTAAGTGGTTCTGTCCATCTCTGTTTCTTATTCTGGTATTTTGAGAAGGGGGTCATGATTGGAGTTTTTCCACCCACAGTTGTATCACATTGTAAAAACGTAATCCCTGTGCTTTGGGACTCTGTCCTCAGACATGGCATGCTATTGGGCATTATAAATAACAAACATTTTTATTGTCATTGGCCACTGGTGAAGCCAGCTAAGAGTCCAAAGGAAGGAGGTGATAAATGTTCTTGTTTTATAGGCAGAGATGTAAAGTCAGAGGTGTGTGGCCTTTTGGAGAGCTGCTGATTGTGTCTTAACCCTACGAGGCTAGCCACAGAGGCCTAGGTCAGTTTAGCAAACTTTCAGATAGAGG